TTTGCATTGTGGATGCCACGATACCATCTACACTCGCCGCAGAATGCCGCGGAAGATATAAGTCCGCCTTGCTCGTTGCGGAGCCTCGTGGAAATGCGTCTAAGATATCTCGATACAATCGCGCCGTATAATGGCTGTTATTTTAAGCCTTTCATTGAGCCTGCCATAGAGACGTATGAAGACCTTGTTAAAAAAATTAAAAGTGTACATCTCTCATTTGATGACTCAATAAAAACCCGAAATTTTATCGAGTATAATATTTTAGGAAAATGTGCAAAAATCGCGTTAAACGATTTAATGCGTATTAAATCTCTTTGGAGAGATTACGGAATAGAGACAACCTTGTATGTATCTTGTTATTCAAATCGGGATATAAATAGCGAACGGACTGGTTCCGCGATTAACTCAATTATCGATCTCCCATTTCCGAAGAATCTATGCAACACGTGTAGGGATGGAAGCGACAAGAGATGTCAGCGGTAATCATAAGCTATAGCCGATAAACCCGATACGATTCATATCGTATTCATGTTACGGTGTTAGAGATATGCAAATGATTATTAATTATTAGCGTGTTGATCGTTATGTCGTCGACACGGCGGACCGGATCGGTGAAACCCTATGTCCGGAGTCTCTCCTCAGATCGGTGAAACACGATAAACTTTAATTAGGGAACGTATTAACGCACCGATGGTGCACTGGGTGTATGGCGGCGAGCAGCAGCGGCTGAGTGAGTGGTTAGCAAGCAGGTGCACGGATAATTATACGTTTTCCTCGTATATCGTCGCATGCTACCGGAATAATTAAGCAAAACTGATGAGCGCCCACTCTCCTCTCTCCTCTCTCCGCTCTCACTCCCTTTACATCGTCTTCCGCTATCTACCGGCACGACGTGTCCGGTACTTTCCTAAATTTTTAATTTATTCACGGAGAGAAGCCCGGCACAAAATTAGCCTTATTATTACCCTTAATTTCCCTCTCCTTCCTCCCCCTTTCGAGAAACCGGGCAAAAATTAATCCTACAGACTCGAAGACGCGCGCGGACCCACCGATCGCCGTGAAACGATTTCGATCGGTCGGTCGGAGGGTTCTAGACGTCTCGACCGCAAAGGCAAAGCGCATAACACCCTCTCATTCGGGGTGGACGCACACGCTTCGTTTCGGGCGAACAACGGTTACGTGCCTGGAGCGCGATATTTCTTAATAAGCCGCGATCGTTGGCACGCACGATCGCGATATTTCTTCGGGATCGTTGGCGCGGGCCGAGATACGTGCCGCCGCGCTCTCGCGAATGTACCATAAATATCTAAATAGCGGAAGTAAGAAAAATTACGTATTTACGGCAGCCGTGCCGGCAGAAATAGCGCCGGGACGCTCGATTGTGTTTTGTTCGCGGCGATGTGATTTCGTGAGAGGTACGATTTTCCGGGACTGTGCTCCACGCCGGGACGTGATTCATCGTCGTTTCTACGAATCCGAAGCGGACGAGACGGAGGGAAAGAAAGAGAGAATTTCCAGTTGGATCGGGAGAACATTAAGTCGCCAGGAAATGATAGCGACTTGACGAAATGCTACTGTTAATTACAAAATCACATGCATCACAAAAAAATCTTTTTACAAGTACGGCACTTTTAAGCAACAAATAAAAATAATAATATACGTATCAACAATTTGGAATTAATATAATCAACCATTTTACATATTTTTTCCTTATTTAAATGCTGTACCCGCGAAATTATCGATACGATGTGAAATTATTGAAACTTGTAACCGTTAGTAACTAACGATATTAAATATAACGGAAATGAAATTCTTAGATACGTATCAAGCCGCGCGCATGCGCGTTGATTAATCGGTAACGCTTAATCATATACGCCGTTCGCTCGGTCACGAGAAATAATTTCTTCCTCCTAGTCGTCACGAGAAAGAATTACACTTCCTAATCGATTCGAGGAGAAGGTGAGATCGGCACGGCGCGATACATTCTCGGCGAGACGCCTCGCCGTCGTCGTCTGCACGCACAATGGCGATATTTTATCCCCGGTAGAGTCACGAGCTTCGCGAGGCTGCATTATATACACAGAAAACACGGGCCAATTACGAGCGCACGATAAATAAATAAACGGTGCCTAACTGCCGGCGGCGATTAAGCGTGATTATGCTCACGCTCGTGACGCACGGCTATAACAGGTTGTACTGTGAACTTTCGCCGTCGCGACGCGTCGGAATAACTCTCTCTCTCGACGGCACCGCCGACGTAAAAGGATAAAGCGTAATGAGCGCGTCCCGAATAAGCACGCCACCGCCTGCATAAATGCAACGGCCTGCAACGGCCTCTCTCTCTCTCTC